CCCCAAAACCCCAAAACCCCAAAACCCCTAATTATAAATAATGCTAATATAGAAAATAATAAGATTAATGAAATAAAGATCTTCAAACGAAAGTTAGTGTGCTAAAATTGGAGTACAAATTCATTTTCATTCTCTTGGTCCAAGCCAGGGATTAGCTAAATAATAAAGCAAATGGTCATCAAGATCGAACTCAAATGCATGTTTACATTTTCTGAGTAATTGTTTAAATAAATAAAATCTTACAAAACCTCATGGTGAACACTCTAACTTGTCTAGCAAGAATGTTTAAGTCTGCATTTGCTATCACATGACTTAGATTAGCTATGAGAATTATGAAATAAATGAATTTAATTACTCTGGTAGGGCATCAATAAATTTTGTACTTTGGTATTTTAATGCCATATATTCTTCTTCTTTGATTTTTTCAGAAAGTATGTCAAAACTTTTAGGACTTAAATCATCCATCTCGTATAGCTGAGTCATTTCATGATGTTTCAACCATTAAGGTTAGTCTTCATTTATATTTAAGAAATATGTGTGAGCTCTTATTGGAATAAGATGTTCTTCATCAAGTTCAAACACTCTTACACTTGGGAAGTTAAGATCCATTGGAGTCAGTGATGCACTCCAAAATTAAACTCCTACTGGCTTACTATCCATCACAGATCTCACAATATTGTGCATTTCATAGTGTTCATGTCCATAGGTTTAAAATCTAATGATATGCTAGAATCTATCAAAAATAGATTTAATCCTGACAGACCATCCATGATTGCATTCATGATAAGAAGGAGGAATATGAGCAATCACAATAGCTATTTGATTATTTTCTTCATATTCATGAAGAGTTCTATTCAACCATTCTAACTAATTTCCAGGATCATTTCTATAACTCCATATATAAAAGTTCACATTATAACATGCCTCTGTATTTAGCATTATAACGTTACTATTGTTGTAAATCTTTCCACTTTTGAGCTTTAGCTTCTGAGCATAATAACCAGTTTTCTAAAATTGTTCTTTTGCTTGATCTTCTAACCAAATTGACCATTGATCTGCGAGCAAGTCTAGAGTTTAATCTCCATTATTGAAGTCTTATTAATGAGAGTTACCGAAATCATGATTTCCAATTGCTGCAAATACGGGATAATCTGAAAGATTAGTTTTTATATAGTCATTAAGGAATGTAAGCTCATCGACTTTTTATTCAAAAGTCATATTGTAAGATTCAGCATGAGTGGTGCTGTCACCTGTCCATAAAATGGCGTCAGGCTTAATTTCAGATCTAATAAATTAACCTAAGCTGTAAAGTAGTTCCTTAGGTGAATCACATCCAAACGACCCTAATTTCTTAGCCTGCTTAGAAGGATCTTTTGGAAACCCAAACATTGCTCTACAGCACAGCATAGATCCACATTTTGCATTTGATCCAGCAACATAGTCCAGATCAATATGAAGATCAGTTAGCTGAACAAATTTAATTGTAGGTCTCTTCTTATTTCCATTTACTTTATCATAGAGATTATTTAAGTAGTCATCATTTTTAATTATTTCGGGCTTATCTTGTAACATTTTATATTGATACTTAGTCCCGCTTAGAGGAGCTAGTTCTTTAAATTTACAGAATGGAAGAAATTCCGACATGCAGATATAAGCTGGACTTAGTGGATATTTGAACAATTGGTCAACAACTGACTTTGAGAAATATTCAATAATGCCACGGCAGGAGTAAACATCGTAATTGGTAAAATGACCACAGCCAGCAGCTCCAAGTATTTTTACCCATTTCAAAAACATTTCATTATTAAATGTAGTATTGACTGTGCCTGCCATTGTTAGGCAGGTATAACAAGATATTTAATCGAAAAAATTGTTACTAGCCATTGTTAGTTTCTAATCTTAAATTTAAGGAGTGTTAATGGGACTCTTTAGAAGATTGTGTTAAAGAGTTAAATATGAAAAAGCTAAAAATAGACAAAGCTTAAAATGAACAGAACTTGTAGTAGATTTTATCATCTTAATTATTATAGTGATATATTTAAACCTAATTATCGACTAATTAGTATCCTTGCATTAGTCAATGATAAGCTCCTTGGGGTTTTGGGGTTTTGGGGTTTTGGGGTTTTGGGG